TATATAAATAGAGAGCGAGCCCCATCCCATTTTAGCACTGAGGATGTTACCTAGCTGGGTAATAAAATGTTTGCAAGAAAAGAACCAAGCTCAGAGAACTTCAAGGACTCCACAGTTCAACCCTGAGCTACACATATTCGCCTCTATTGGTCCAACAGTGGCTATTCAGAAAAAAAAATGTTTAAAAGCCATAATATTTTAAATTAATAATCACATAATATTAAACAATGTTTTTTCTGAAAATGTATTTCTGGAATGTTCCATAGTTATAGTCATATTTTAAGAATTAATTACAACTTTGATTTTAAATTTGACAAGTACTGTACTGGTTCACTATGAGCACAATCCAAACTGCTATTTCAAGTAGATCAGGATGGATGTGGCCCGCTGTTGTAAGATCTTTGTCAGAATTGTAGTTGTGGTGGTACATCCCCAGTAGGCCTGTGAAAAGTCCATGAATATTAATCTCTTGCTCTTCTTTTTTTTTTTTAATCCTGCATCATGCTGTTGTGGGTATTTTCACTTCTGTTGGTTCAAAGAGGAGGAAAAATGAAGCAGAATTTAAATTTTCTCCATTCTTGCTGATGTGAGCTGCCAAGATTTCAGGAGAGTCACTTCGGACTACTTTATTAGTTGATGTTTATGAGACAAGTTCTTTCTTAATGTGGAATACTTTCCCATCCAAATTCTTGGTGGTGTCTATAATCAACTAAAACAACTTTAAAATAAAATTGTAGTCCTTATACTATAATCCTTACTTTTCTTACCGTTTGAGTAATTCTTTTTGCCAGACTTAGAAACAAGGTTTCTAAATTAAAAACCATTATATAAAATTGTGCTCACTTCTTCAAGAGACAAAGTCTGTCATGAATTGTTTGTATTTCAGTTGTATGATTTTCTGTACAATAGATGAAAATGTTATGGCAAATTATTTGGTTAATGTGTTAATTCTGGAAATATATTAATTTTAAATTTTAGTTTCCGAGAAGAAATTGCCAAGTTTCTTACTGAATATGCAAATGCTTCAGTACCACTAGATCCAGAACATGTAAGAGACAAGGACACTTTTTTTATTTATTTAATGTTGCTAACAGTTGATGAATCTTATCTGAAATGTCAGTTTAACAAAGCTGCTTAAATTTATTAGTTTTAAACTGGTTTGGAAATTATGCTGGGAGTTATCACAATATTGTTATGCTCAAACCAATGCCTAAGTATTAATTATAAGTAACTATTAATTAAAGCTTGCCTCATAGAAATTTAGATAACTTTTTAGATTCCCAGCTTCTTCAGATAATCAGTCCCAGCATATTTATAATGATAAATTATTTGGAAACAATATTCAGATTTCTTACATTTCTGAATTGCTGTTTGAATTATCTTTATTCAGAGCTCTGGAACCATCACCTTCCACATTCAGCATACTTTCCTATCAAACTGGTAAGGCATTCTCTAGAAACTGCCTACCAATTGTCACACAATGTAGAAATATTGGTTGTACTGGTAGTCCTTGCTTACTGACTTGACTTGACCGTTTGAACTTGCGACAGTTGAGAAATAGCTTTGCAACCAATCCTCACATTTATGGCTATTGCAGTGTCCCATGGTCACATGATTGCCATTTACAAGCTTCATAACCAACTTCCAACAAGCAGAATTAATGGAGTATGCAGAACTGAAATCACAAGTCATGGTCACATGATGTCTCACTTAATGACCATAGTGATTTGCTTAACAACGGAAGTGGAAGTGACATAAGTCTGGCATGGTCACATGATTTTTCGCTTAGCAACCGTGGCACTTAGCAATGGAGTTGCCAGTCCCAATAGTGGTTGGTAAGCGATGACTATCTGTAATACAGAACTTAATAATTTCAAATAACATTATAGTCTACCAGACTTTTCAGTGCCCTAATGATTTATTAGATACCAATTAAAAACATACGTTTGTTTTTAGATTGGTCCCTTAGTATTTCAAATGTTTAGCAATGTTGTTAATTGCAATTTGGCATTTTTCTAGATTATTGTTATGAATGGTTGCTGTGCTGTCTTTGCAACTCTTTCAACTGTGTTGTGTGATCCTGGAGGTAAGACAGCTTTCGTGTGTGTGTGTGTGTGTGTGTATATTGCAACAATTACATGTTACCATGATAAGTTTCAGAGGTGTTGTTTTAAAGACATTATGTATTTTTCATTGGCTGATATCAAGTGATAACTTTTTCTATCAGATAATATTTACTGTTAACACTGTTTCTGATTTGAAAAAAATACTGCTGACATTAAACTGTTGGTGTGTACTCTTAAATACCCCAATATAATTCTAATAAAGCCTCATTAGTTCATGATTTTTTAAAAATGAAAAAGGATCAAATACTGATCAAATGTTTAATAAGTGTTTGTAGCATATTAGTAATAAATAATTTTTAAAAAACAGGGCTTATGGAACAAAATAATTAAAATGAAGCAAAATAATATAGTGTTAATTTAATAGCTAGTAAAAGTCTCTTGAAAAATATTTCCTTTATGTATGTATATATTTATTTATTTATTTGAATACAGATGGATATCTTATTCCAACTCCATATTATGGTGGCATAAATTCCAAAACTTGGCTGTATGGTGGAATGCAACCTGTTCATGTACCCTTACTCAGTGAGGTAAATTTTATCTTATTAAAGATAAATAAGGAAGTGCTGCATTGAATTTATCCCTTTGAGTAGAAGGAAGAGGAAGTTCTACCACAATGCTCTGCCTTAATCATTGACTACAGATTTTGATGTTTCCCTCAACTTTATTCCATTTTTTTAGTAATTGCAATATCTTACTGAGTTACTAACATTAACAGTTTTGGATTTTAGGTAGCTGATGAAGGAAGCCAGCCTTTTCAATTAACAGTTGAAAAATTAGAAGCTGCATATCAGAGAGCCAAAGAACAGGTAGGAATACTTTTGATTGAACTTCATATTCTAATTTTGGATTAATACTATTTGTAATGGATTTTCACTGGTAAAATACATCCTACTGAAATACAAGAGAGGCAAATATGTGGAAGAGTGGGAGATGATCTTTGCTGTCTTTCCCCTTCCTATATTTCCCATGTTGCCATCTCCATTACTATTCTGCCCAGCCTGTTAACCCAGTGGGCACATTTGGAATTTCAAGAACACGTGATGGATGCTTTCCCCAAATGGCTGCCAGAATGGATATGGTCAGTCACAAAATATGCCTGCTAACCCAACCTTACCATCTATCTGTAGGATGGTCGTATCATTCTCAATGTATCTTTATTCTTTTTTTCAGAGTAGATGGGCATATTTCCAAACAAGGTGCTGTGCAGCTTCAGCACCCCACTTTTATTTTCAAAAGTAATAAAACAAAGATGGCTGGTAGATGCTTTTCAGTAAGCAATCTTTCAGTCTAATTTTCTTCTAAATTAAAATAATCTTATAAAAGATAAGGTGTAACAGGAAGTTTAGCAGGTTCCAAGAGAGGTACCTAGGGGGGCTACCTTAAAAGACTCCAGTTTGGGAGGAGGGAGAATTGTAAGCTTTGCATTTTGTGGATTGAATATATGGTTTGCATCCAGTACAGAGCAAGCAAAAACTTATTCATATGATGACTTGAGTCACAGCAGTACATTGCATGTCTTGAAAGACTTTCTTTAGGCTACCCAAAGGAAAGGCCTTGAGTCTGGTTTAAGTTACTCTGTTAGGTTTGTTGATAGTACAGCTAATCTGCCCAATGGCAGCCCAGTACATTTTTAGGCTTTTCTATGTAACAGTGCAGGGTAGAATTTAATTTATATTTGTGTGGGGTGTATTTTTTTCTTTTTTGCTTAAATGAAAACTCAGTTTATTAGCATTGTATTCAAATATTAAATTTCCAGTTAGAATACAGTGTTCTGATGCAGATTTGCAAGCCACAAAGAATTACATTTTTGGCTAGTGTGGGTCTTCCGGGCTGTGTGGCCATGTTCTGGAAGTTTTGTTTCCTAACGTTTCGCCA